CCCCCCCCCCCCCGAGTGCACAAATTTTTGTGCACCGGGCCTCTAGTATATATATAAAAGCCTAAGCGACCATTACAATGGAACAACCAGAACAACTGGAACGACTGGTCGCGATGTGGTGCACTGATCACCAGGGGGCAGACGCTCAACTCAGGAGCTGCCCCCTGGTGGTCACTGCGCTTTCACAGCAGGAGCACCCAGCCAGAAGGCTCAACTCAGGAGCTGCCCCCTGGTGGTCACTGCGCTTTCACAGCAGGAGCACCACTCAGCCAGAAGCAGGGCTCACAGCTGGTGAGCACAGCGGTAGTGGCAGGAGCCTCTCCTGCCTCCACAGCAGTGCTAAGGAGCAGTGAGAGAGCACCAAGCGCTAAGGCCGGCACTGCCCAGCCTGGCTTGGGCTCCTCCCCAGCCTCCTGCTGCTTCAAGCACTGCTACAGGATTGGGCCTAAACTGGCAGTCGGACATCCCCTGAGGGGTCCCAGATTGCGAGAGGGCGCAGGCCAGGCTGAGGGGACCCCCCCACCTGTGCACGAATCCATGCACCAGGCCTCTATTATAATATAAAGAGTAAGTGCCAAAATAGAAATAAAATGTTAATTAAGACTAATTAATTTCAACTAGGCCTAGGTAGAATGGGAGGGGCGGGCAGGAGATAAGCATAGACTTCTCAGTAAAAGTATCACGTCAGTTGACTCTTGAATCGGAATATTAGTAAATAAAGAGATGAGAAAAGAAGGCTATTACATGTAAAAGGAATAGAACTAGCAAAGTATAGAGATGTTTCTCTTATTTTTGAGAATGATAATGTCATGTAAATGGTCAAGAGACTTTGATGGAAAGGTAAGTTGGCCAGATTGTGGATGCTACACTAAGGTTGGACTTATCTTATAGGTGACAGAGAGCTATAAAAGGTTTTTGAGCAGGGTAGTAATGTCTTTTTAGAGAGAGAAACATCGGTCATTTGGCTGCCTCTGCCTGCTATTCCCACCCTGAGTGCACGTCAAACTAGAAACCTAGGTATGAGCCTGATGTGGAATCAAACCGGAGACCTTTCAGTGTACGGGATAACACTCCAAGCAATTGAGCCACACTGGCCAGGGCAAGCACATTCTTTTAAATAATTGCAGTACAAATTATCATAATCAGGAAATTGAATGTATAAACAAATATGGTTCATTCATACAATGATACTAGTTGGCAATGGAATAAAGATACTAGTTGGCAATGAAAAGAACTACTGATATATGCACCAACACAGATTAATCTCAAATATATTCTGCTAAGTGAAAAAAGAAAGCCTCAAAAATTATATACTATATGGTTCCATTTTATGTCATTTTAGAAAAGGCAATTGAGACAAAAAAGTAATTATTGGGGAAAAGGGTTGACTATAAAAGGGCAGTGCAAGAGAATTTGGGAAGTGATGGAACTGCTTTACATCTTAATTGTGGCAGAAGTTACACAATTGTATGCTTTTGTTAAGACTCAGAACTATACACCAAAAAAAGAATTATTTTTTTCTGTTTGTAAATTTTAAAAGAGGGGAAATAATTAGGAAATTAACATTGATACAATTATATTAGCTTATTTATTGATTTTTTAAAAATATATTTTATCGATTTTTTACAGAGAGGAAGGGAGAGGGATCGAGAGTTAGAAACATCGATGAGAGAGAAACATCGATCAGCTGCCTCCTGCACACCCTATTGGGGATGTGCCCGCAACCAAGGTACATGCCCTTGACCGGAATCAAACCCGGGACCCTTGAGTCCGCAGGCTGATACTCTATCCACTGAGCTAAACCGGCTAGGGCTTATATTAGCTTATTTAAATACTTTTCAAAAATTTCCAGTTCCAATAGTATCATTTATATCATTATGTCATAATAGAGGCCCGATGCATGAATTCATGCACCAGTGGGGTCCCTCAGCCTGGCCTGTGGGATCGGGCCGAAACCGGCTCTCCAACATCCCCTGAGGGGTCCCAGATTGCGAGAGGGCTCAGGCCAGGCCAAGGGACCCTACCAGTGCAGGGGAGGGACGTGGGAGGTTGGACAGCCGAGGAGGGACCACGGGAGGGCTCCAGGGCGTGTCCAGCCATCTCGCTCAGCCCAATTGTCCAGACCCCAGCAGCAAGCTAACCTACCAGTTGGAGCGTCTGCCCCCTGGTGGTCAGTGCACATCAGGGGTCAACAAACTACGACCCGCGGGCCACATGCAGCCCGCCGAAAACATTTATCCGGCCCGCCGGGTGTTTTTGCCGCCACTGCCTGTTGGTGAATTTGTTCATAGTTTTTTTTTAAACTATAGTCCGGCCCTCCAACGGTCTGAGGGACAGTGAACTGGCCCCCTGTTTTAAAAGTTTGAGGACCCCTGGTGCACATCATAGTGAGCAGTTGAGTGGCTTTAGCATATCATTAGCATATTACCCTTTGATTGGTTGAACAGATGACCGGACACTTAGCATATTAGGCTTTTATCATATAGGATACGTGCTCAGAAGTTACACGTCAAAATAAAATAAAATAGAGGATCAGGAGAAATAAAATTGTGGATATCGGCTAAATGGTCACTACTCATCCTGTTAGCTCAGGTCACTGTTTTTCACTGTATAATTCAGTATAAAAGAGTTTACCATCAATTTTGTTTCAGCCCCCCAAAACAATCTCAGATCACAAGTTGCATTCAGTTGTCATGTCTCTTTAGTTTCCTTTAATTTGAAATCAACCGTTCCTTAGTCTTTCTTTGAATTTCATGACCTTGGCATTTTTTTGTTAAGTACAGACTTTATAGCTTTTCCCTCAATTTGGTTTTGTTTGATGTTTTCTCATGATCATATTGAGGTTGTGTGTTTTTGGCAAGGTTATCTCATATGGCAATGTGTTCTCAGTACATCATATCAAGAGGTGGTATCTACCAGATCTTGCCACTGCGTGGTTACTGCTTTTACTTTGTAATCATTAAATATCTTCTGGAAAAATATTTTGGCATTATGTAACTATACTGTTATTTGTCTTTCACCTGCTAATTTGTTTGATGAGTCTTGCTTGCATTAATTAGTTACCCTTAAATAGAACTTATTGAACATAATTTAGCTTGATGACCCAGGGCACTTGTGAACATTGCTTATTAGGATGCATCATAGTTAAATATACAAGGAATAACTGTGCTGCTGAGCTCTTCTGGGTGATGTTGGAGAGTGCACAGGCTTTGAGAACCAGAGGTGACCTCATGGCCATTTCATGTATATCAACACCCTCAAGACTGTACAGCTTTTCATCTCTAATTCACTGGCGTTCTGGCTCTCCTCTTCACTATTGGGAGGGTATCTTACTTCTTGCTCTGGATACCATGACTGTTTAATGTCACTATGTCTATTTTATATAACAGCATAGTTGAATTTTTTGTATTAATTTGCTTCCTCATGATGGATGGTCCAGGGTAGAAAATGTTGGGGTCAGTCTATCCAAAAAGAACTAACTATAACAATGTTTGTTTTTAAGAATTATCTTTTTTATCAACATACGTATAAATGAAATCTTTGCCCTGATGGGAAAGGAGCTCCTCTGTGTTCTGCTCTCAGACAGTAATTATCCTTGAAGCTCCCTTCACCTTTTCATACCTTAGATGTTCTCATAATACCCACTCAATAGTTCCCCTTCTAAGTCAGATAAAATAGAGGGTCAGGAAGAAGAAAATTGGGCATATGGCTAGATAGTTACTATTCATCCTATAAGGGTTCAAATCACTATTTTTATTGTTGTTTTTATTTTTTTAATCCTCACCCAAGGATATTTTTCCATTGATTTTTAGAGAGAGTGGAAGGGGGAGAGAGAAACATCGATGTGAGAGACATCAATTGATTGCCTCCCACATCCGCCCCTACCGTGAATCAGACTGAGACTGCAACTGAGGTACATGCCCTTCAGTCCAAAGGCTGATGCTCTATCCACTAAGTCATACTGGCCAGGGCCAGATCACTATTTTTCAATGTATAATTTAGTATAGAGAGTTTAGCATCAATTTTGTTTCATCCCATGCACCTATAGAGTAAAAATGTGATTTATAATATCTTTAGTATAACAAACTTCCACCAAAAAGTAATTAGGCTTCCAAGTTTATTATAATGACATTTTAACATAACATAATTCATTTTGAAATATGGGCTCTTACATTGAATTAAACAGGTTTTGATTATCTGAAAAGGTATTTTATTTAAAGAAAGGTACAACTTCATGATCTAGGGAATAGTTACTTGTAAATTATAAGTTTATAATTGAATACTGGCTTAATTGAATACAGTTATAATTGAATACTGGCTTAATTGAATACAGTTATAATTGAATACTGGCTTAAGTTTTTATTATATAAGACATTTAATTTTAGTATTTAAAACAGTGATCTATACTTTAAAAAAAAAAAGAGTTTAATACAGGCATACTTGGAGATATTGCGGGTTCAATTCCAGGCCGTCGCAATAAAGTGAGTACAGGCATACTTCAAACATATTGCGGATTTGATTCCAGGCCACCATAATAGTGAGTATCTCCGTAGAACAAGCCATAATCTTTTTGCTGGTGGAGTGTCTTGCCTTCAGTTTGCAATAAGAGTAGGTATGCCTTTATACAAATTGGCCTTTGCCCTTCTGTGATTCTCTTATAATGGTATATATTGCTAGTTTCCTTATTTGGAATGCATAATAGTCATTAACTACACCTCTTCCTCATTTTTTTGGTAGATAGTCCTTGTTTCAAAACGGGGAGAAAAGCACTTAGAACTCTTAAGTTATTATCTGTCCCTCGTTTGTACCATAGCATGTTTTTTCTTCTTTGTCTTAATTTTAGGGACCTTTACCTTAAAGTGACCATCACAAATAGAAATATCAAGTTAAACCTCACAAGAGATTTCTGCCCAAAAGGAACACCCTAGTCCAGGGGTGGGCAACCCCTGGCACAGGTGCCAAACATAGCACGCCAGTAACTTTTGCTGGCACGTGAAACCCTCTCTTATAATCTTCCATTTGCAATTTTTTTCTTAATATCGACTTTTTTATTTTTCAGATAAATTCAGTGTCGGTGCATCTTAGATAAATAAATAA